TATAAAGAAATTGAATTTGTTTAATTTTGGAGAGATCTATTGAGCAAAATTTAGTGCTACACATTATCACAAATAAATTTGAGCCTGAAGTCGTTCCGACCTATATAAATTTAGATAAAGATTAACGATTAGTGACACCTGTATCTGGTTTAAATAATAAGGCATAAATTAAGGATTAAATATTGGCTTTCCCTAAGATCTGTTAAATTTTATCGAATGCATTGGGTTTAGTGCCTAATAAATAAAGAATTTCTCATAATCTTATATAAAAATTAACCTTTGTCTTTGCAACATAAGCTTAAGCTAATGCATTCAACAAGCTTATTTTTGAACCGCTTAGTTCGGTAATAACTATCTGTAGCCCTAAGTGGCTGTTAGATTTTACTAAATCTAGTAAGTTTGGTTTCTGATAAATCATAAAATTTCCCATAATCTTAAAAAAAACCTTAACCCTCATCTTTGTAACATAGTTCTAAAACCTCTAACACGATCTATGAGTTTGGTACGAAGCCTTAGCCTTAAATTAGTTTAAACCACATATAGCTAGTTTTTACTAAAAAGAGCATTCTTATATCAATCTGCTATTACAATCCACATACAGGGTTGTCAGGTCAAAATTTTCAAATTGCGGGAGAAATTTAATATTATGCGGGAGAAATATGAAAATTGCGGTAGAAATATAAAAATACTAAAAAAAAAATTTTGCTTCGGCCGGGATTTTGAATTGACTTAATTATCGGCCTATTATTTTTTATAATTAGTTTATATAAATACAAAGTTGGTAACTATTTTTCAGAATAAAATAACATCTATTAAAATATATTAATTTATAAGAAAAACCAAAGATCTTTTTTAAATAAAAAGAATGTAAACAAGATAAAATTTTCTTAAAAAAATGATTTTAATTTTACAATTAAAAAAATATTTTATGCGAATGTCCCGCAAAAAGACCGCAATTAGAAATCTACCGTGTGTGTGTATATAACATTATCGGGATAGGCGCTTAATTAACACGTATCACGTTTAAATACATAATAAGGTACTCCAAAAATAAGAAATACAGATGCAACTACAGTTGCGCCAATTATAATCACTTATCTTGTAGTACAACATTTACAGAGATACTTAACATCACAATGTTGGTAGAATCATTTCCCCATAATATTAAACTACTCTAATATAAATGAAAACTATACTTGTAGAACAAAAATGAGCAAGGCTATTATCAATGTTTTAGAACCTAATACAGGAGGTCAATTTTTGACGATTTGAAAGATGGGCATACATATGCAAATCTAACAGATGCATCTAATAAGGAAAATATTAAAATATTTCTCTTGATCCTCTGCTATTTCAACAAAATTAAGGTCGTTTCAATAAAACTATTAAATTTTTTCCCCTCAAATTGTGAAAAATACAAAGACATAGCTAACAATAATGGTAAATATAGCAGATTGGAGATTTTGAATAAATTGCATGTCAGCTTTCTGATCTGATAATGCTTCATTGAATTTGGTAAAAACAGAGTGTATTTACAGAATTGAGTCAGCACAATGTTGGTTGCGATATGTTCCTAATACCCGACATCGATAGAATTTTAAAATTTTATAAACCTTTAAAAAAATATTTCTTAAATAAAGATTATAAAAGCTGTCCTAACATTTTGAAAATTTTTTTCAATAATGAATGGCAGAGGTGAATTGGGAATGATTTCACATGCAGGAAATTTACTACATGCTGTTAATGTGTAGTTGTAATCAGAATAATCTTAACAAAGATTCACAAAATTATGCTGCAGATGTGTTCATCTTTACAGTTAAAAATTGACAATAAATTTTATGGCGCGATTGTTAACTTAATTATATTTTATTTGATATTTAAATAATAGAACTAAATGTTTACCGTCGTTATTGAGATATTTATAAAATTCCTGGCATGACATATTATATATTTGTTTAACCATTAGCTCGGCCACTAATGTTGTTAAAGCAATCCGATTTCTCTCCTTTTTCAAGCTCATCAGGCTAAAAATGCGCTCGGATGAGGTATTAGAATGAGGTAAGGAGAAGACATACTCACATATTTTTTCCAGGCATGGGGATTTATCGTTATTACGAAAAAATTCTACCCATCTCCTGTGCTTTTAGACCATCTAACTTTAAGTTATTGGCGAATCATAAAAAATAGAGAGAATTACAATCTTCTCAAACAAGACATCAATGTCTTTCGGTATTTTTAATATATTTATTAAAATATAAAAACCATCAATTGAAGGTTTCTGTTCCAAGGTCATAATATTTATACATTTGTAAATAGTTAAGATGAACAGAGCTGTAGCATGATTTTGTAAATCTTTTTTAATAAAGAATATTCTGATTGCAACTGAATACTAACTGCATGAAGTAGATTTCCTACATGTGAAACTTTCATCTTCAAAAAGATTTTTAAAATTTTAGGACAGCTTTTAAAATTTTTATTTAAGAAATATTTTTTTAAGGATTCGTAAAATTTTAAAATTCTATCGATGGCAGGTATTAATGATAACCACCTGATAGGTACATATCGCAACTCACACCATTCCAAGTCAGACCACTTCACCAACTCTTCTAATTCATTAACTCTTTAAGTTGATGAACAAAATTCGTTAAAACATTTCATCCACGCCAGGATTTTCCTGGGGGGGGGGGCGGTTATTAAAAAATTTCTATGGGCTCCGCCCCCAGACCCCATTTTGGGCCTTTCGGCCCGCTTTTGCCCAGCCTTCGGCCGGGTTACCTTATTCTTTATATAGTCATAAAATATTTTTAGAAGATATGTAGGAGGTTAATTTTAATAAAAAAAATAAGCCTGGAACAAATATGAAATATATTTTTATTAGTTTATATAAGATATAATAAATTACTTTTATATACATTGATACAAAAGCATTGTAATAATTTATTCCAAGCAAGTAGAAGAAATTTATTTATAAAAAGTAAGTAGACATATAGTTTATATTCCTCCATTATATTGAATAAGTTACAAAATACTAGGTAAGATTCCACTTTTACAAACATATTACAGTTAATATTTTAACAAATTTTACTAATCAATGCTCTTGAAAATAAATATAGCAACAATTTGCATTCAATTATTTAATGCCATCTATTTATTTTAAATAAAAAATTATATTAAAATTAATCTTCATATTATTCATCCCACAATGTCTTTAAAAGATATTTTCTGATGTCATCAATATTTTATAGTTTTCTGTAAATTATATAATTCGCTATATTGTTTGATTGTCATATGATAATTGATAAAATTAGATATACTTAAATCTACATATAATATTCCACTGTTTGTATTGTGCTTTAATTTTTTTATTTAATTTGTGATATAATTTTATCAATAGTTTTATAATTATATTTTAATTACTCACTTTATAAAAAATTATATTCGATATATTATATTATTTAGTAATTTTATGGATCTATTAATATAATTATAATACATTACCATTTTGTCTTAAGACTTATCTTGGCTTATAATCCATTTCTTTAAAAACTTGGTTCACTTTTTTTATGTAATAAATGCTTTTTTCCAAAAATGTATAAATTATGATGAATAGTTTTTGTTTAAAAAATATCAACTTTTACATTCTTTCTTTCAAATGATTGTTTAAGATATATGCATACATTTTTAGGGGTAAGGTAGTGGGGGGAGGACTGAGGGGGATATTTTTTAATAAAATGATATTCACAAAAAGTGATAAATTTCTGAAGGGGGGGGGGTGGATTTACCCTTGCCCCCCCCCTGCTGGCTATGCCTATGATTTCATCACAATTATTTCGACATCCACAGATAGTACATTCATTGCTTTCTTACAAGAATTATGTAGTATGTGGCATATTCAGCCAATTGGTATTAATTCATTATTGTGCTGCCTCAATTCGGTAATTTTGGTTTTGGCCAAAATTTACAGAGGCATTATCAGAGCAGAAAGCTGATATGTAAATCATTGATAACCCTGAATCAGCTATATTTACCATTATGTGGCTAGCTACATCGTTAAATTTTTCACTATCCGAGGAAAAAATTTTGAACAGTTTTATTGAAATGTTCTCATTTGTTGAAATAGCAAAGGATCGAGGGAAATGTTTTAATATTTCCCTTATTAGATGCATCTGTTAGAATTGCATATTGCCCATGCGGTAGTTTTGCGGGAGATACGTCTGCGTGTAACTAAAAAATTGCGGGAGTCTCCCGCTGATGGGGGGAGACATGGCAACCCTGTCCACATACCTGTTTAATGGTAAAAAAAATATATCAAGCTAGAATGAACTCAGGTTAAATTTGATAGCTTGATGAAATAATTACTAAAAAATTTCATGCATATGGTTAAACTGAGCCCATACCAGATACCAGTTCTTAACTTAAAAAATTCGTAATAAGCCAGGATTTAACTTGGAAAATGATAAGCTTGTTACAATAATAACTAATAGACCTCACATACCATTAATAATAGCTCAAATCAGTTTTTAGATTTAATAGTGTAGTTCAGAAAAATCAACAGCTATATTTGGTTTTATATCATAATTAAATTTATGAATAATTAAAAATAATCATAAATTTAAACTCTTAAACTTAATGATTAATAAATCTTAACTTGTATAAAAAAGATATAATTTTATTAATCCTTACACATATTAGAAAACATCTAATGTTGATTATACACAGAATTCTTAGTTTGGAATTTCACAGCGCAGCCCTAAGATACGACTTCTATTATAATATAAGATTAAAATAATTATTTAAATATATAATGAACTTTGTAAAATATTTAAGCACATCAATAATACTTTTTTGTTTTTTATTGTGCTTATTTTTTTAGCGATGATTGTCTTCGATAGCCTTTTAAAGTTTTCGATATTGATCAGTTTTACCTTCTCTTTCTGCTAACATTTAGCACTCGCTTACATTATTTTTCACTCATATCTTTTCAAACTTTCCAATTCGTAATGACAGCGTGTAAACCATTATCAATATTAATAAGAAATTTGAACATCCATAATACTATAAAAATTGATCTTAATTTTGATCCATTCTTCAAAAATCAAGAAACAATTAGGTAATACATGGAAGATAGTTTGAAAAATTATATTTTTTCTTTAATCTTGAATATAATTATATCCTCTATTAGTTTTAATTTGGTTACAAAATTAATAATATCACTTCGGCCACTATTTCTTAAAGCCAATTTATTCGGGAAGGATGTTCATAAATCTGGAAATCCTATCATTCCCGAAGCAATGGGTATTATATCAGGCGCTGTTTTCATTATAACTATGTTCATATTTATTCCCATATTCTTTTACAAAATTCTACTTTATGAGACTATATTTCCATATGCACCATTCATAGAATTTTTAGCAGGTTTACTTTCAATATGCTGCATGCTATTATTGGGATTTGCTGATGATGTTTTAAATTTAAAATGGCGCTATAAATTGATTTTACCAACATTAGCTTCCTTACCTCTTTTAATGGTGTACATGATCAATATTAATTCAACACTTATTATAATCCCAAGGCCTCTTCAGCAATTATTTGGAGCTCGTATAGATATTGGTGTATTTTATTATCTATACATGGGAATGTTGGCTGTTTTTTGCACCAATTCAATTAATATATTATCTGGAATAAATGGACTTGAAGTGGGCCAGTCTCTCTTGATTGCATTTTCAATTTTAATTTTTAATATAATTGAATTTTATGGCAGTTACTGGAAAAATCATCTTTTTTCTATCAGTTTTATTATCCCATATATATTTACTACATCTGCTATATTTAAATTCAACATTTATCCTTCTTCCATATTTGTTGGGGATACATTTTGTTATTATTCTGGTATGTTATTTGCTGTGATTGCAATCTTAGGTCATTTTAGCAAAACAGTTTTATTATTTTTTTTGCCTCAAATCTTTAATTTTATATTTTCAATTCCCCAATTATTTCATCTGATACCATGTCCTAGACATAGAATGCCCTGTTTTGACAATGAAGCTGATAATCTTTTGTTAAGCTATTCTGAGTTTAAAAAAATACAATTAACATATATAGGGAGTATAATATTAAAAATATGCCATTCATTAGGATTTGTTGAAAAAACAGAATATACAAAAGATAATGAAATTTATATAAAATGCAGTAATATGACCTTAAATATACTTGTGTTAAAATTATTGGGGCCAATGCATGAAAAAAAGTTATTAATAATTCTAATGATTATACAAAGTGGATGTAGCCTAATGGCATTCATAATTAGATATCCTCTTGCCAAAATATTTTATTGATATTGTAAATTTGTATACCAGAGATATTGTTAAATAAAATATAATATTGCAATAAATAATGACTTAATAAATTTTTTTTTGCCTTTTATAAAAAAGGCAATGTTTACAGATATTTACTCAAAAGAAACAAAAGAAAGAACTAAGTGATTTAGTTATTAAAACAAGTGTGCATAATAACAGATGTGAACCAATGATTGGGTTTACTCTAAGTAATTATATCTAAATAAATTAAAAAATTTTTATAAGAATATTTTCTGTTTTTTTTATAAAAGGTGATGGGCATAAATTGATGATAAAAACTCTTAATCTCAATTCAATCGATGTATTAGAAATATATCAGAATATAGTAAATTCAAAATTTCCAAAGATAGAAGAGATTCAAACTAAGATTGATACCAAATCCCAACAGAAAATAAAGGAAAAGATAAAAACGAAAATTTGTTAATCTTCATGATTTTATTTTTGGGCAACAATTAATGAATAGTTTACAGTGTATTTTTACATAATAAACAAAATTATAAAAAAACATTCTTTCATTTTAGCTTGATTTTTGGGGTGTATTTTCCCAGTCCAGCTGCACTTTCAGCCTCTTTTTGGTCATAAAGAGGATTTTTAATTAAATATTTTGTCTTCTGTTTGTGTACTTTTGATTTTTTATGCATATTGAGTGTTATTGAATCAACAAAATGTCTTGCACAGTTTACACAATAAAATTGGCCACCACCTGGATTAATAAATCAAATATAATTAAAAGCTGTATTTATAGTAATCAAATATTTAAATAGTAAGCTGATATTAAAAAACATTTTATTTAAAGATTGTAAAATGAATTTCTCATAATTAACTAATTTTTAAAGTTTTGTATATTTTTATTTTCCCTAAATTAAAAACTTAATCAGTTTTACTACTCATATACTATGTTGTAGTCCTATTAAAAAACTAATCGAATAGTGCATTAATCGATTTATTTAAACGAATGGAATAATTTACTATTTGTATTTGCGAATAATTCGTTTTTTAAAAATATATAATAATTAATACTTGGGATGTACCGATATTATTTATCGGATCGGGCCAATAGTTCACCCATTTTTAAATATCGGGTATCGGATTATAAAATTTTCCAATCCGATATAAAATGGCGTCTTTAACAAAAATAAAATGTTATAAAATTTTTTAAAAAAAGTTATATCTAAAATCATTTATTTTTATAAATAAAATTGAAATCCATTTTTTAATATATTATTTTAATAATAATTAATTAACATTCTGCCATATTGTTATTTTTTTGCGTATTCTGTTTATAAAAGTGTGCGATAATCTCTTCAGAATATGTTTTTAGTGAAGCAGGTGATATTGACAGTTACCACCCCCGCAGGCTGACCTCTATAAATGGGGAATTTGGTTATTTCAAAAAAAAATCTTCGATATATTAATGTTAAATTAATTTCATAATAATTTGTTTATTACTTATTATATATATATATTAATGTTATAACTTATTATATAAAAGTAATTTAACAATAAAAATATTTTATATACTTTTAGAATTGCAATTTAATTGAATATAAACTATAACTGATCATTATAATAAATTTAAATCACATAAGTTGTCAATTTTATATCGGGTCGGCTTTCAAAAAGTGGATACAAAATATATTGACAGAATTTTTAATACTTTTGTTCTCGAATTTATCTCCACGAACAAAAATTTTTTGTTTCTTAAAACTTAGTTAAAGACACAAACAATATATTTTCAGCGTTTTTTATTAAATAGTGTATGCATATAGAATTAATTATTGTAGCCATTTGTTATCATTAGAATATTCATATGTAAAAAAAATATACAATTATTTTGAATAAGGAATAAAAAAAATGCTATTTTTAATAAAACATATTTTACATTTTATATATTCGATCTGGAATAACCATTTGCAGCTCTTGTGCCTTTGCCTACTAGTGCCCCGTTTTTTCAATATAATATCTATGATTAGATGATAACTATTCAATTTCCTACTTTTTTTTTCTAACAAGGTCTACCTTCTTTTCCATCAAGTTTTCTTTCCAATCATCATCAAACTGAGATATATGAACCATGAATTCATTAGACAGGAATCTAATAAATTGAGGAAAACTAGCGTTCAATCAACATATCCTGCTTAAACCGGAATTTCGACAATACCAACTATCTTCTCGTTCATGATTTGGGATTTATCACCATAAATGATATGGTAATAACCTTGTTATCAAACCATTTGCAAATTATAATATTATTAGAATCCACCTTATAATCAAGGGACCTTCTTTTTTTTAAAAAAATAAATTTGTTATCAACCAGATATCAATAATCAATTAAATCTTACGGTCCCCGACATGATAAAGCCATTATCTTTGAGAGCAACTGCAAAATTATATGAAAAAAAATTATCCATATGAATTTTATGATATTTTTGCGTAGGAACAGAATAATTGAATAACGTATCTCCGCTAATTCCCATCAAAGTTTTTTTTTATATTTGTGAATTTTCCTAAATATATCTCGAAATCATACAGCATTCCAGATGATCCACATAAAGCGAAAATTTTAATTTCTCGTTTATGTGGTTTTTAGCGAATATATTGCTTAAATTATTATCAAGCTTTGGAGGGAACTATCATTTTGTCTATTGATAATTTCTCCTCAAATTGAATCTTTCTCATGTTCACTTTTATTGCCTAATAAGGAGTTTTAAAACTTAACATAGGCCCCTAAGAATTATATTATTATCATTAATATGAAAGTATTTTCTCAATTCCAAAGAATTTATTTTTTGTCATCCATTGAAAAACTTGAGGTATCATTATTTAAGGCCCAATGTCTTGTTGATGGTAATTTAACATTACTCGTGTAATTTCCAATTTTTAATTTCTTTAGTGTTTGTTAATTTTCCAGATTATTGAAAAGAATAAATATTAGTTTGCCCAACTAAATTATTAATAATATCACCTAAATTTTTTAAAATATTTGAAAAGCAAAATTTTCCTCCTTGGGGGAAGTAATTCTTGTTTAAATTCTGTATATTTAAATGATTGTTTCACTAAAGGGTTTCCTATTATTTTGGATACTATCCTTTAAGTTCTAATCCAAATCTGGTAAAATATCATACGTCATATTTAGATCAACTTTCTATTTTTAAGGTCCTTATCATTCTTAATGTCTGCCTCAAAATATCTCCTTCTGGTATTATAGTGTAAAAATCTACTTTCTTAACTTTTGAAAATATTATAGCTTACTAAATGGAAAATAACTATTCAATACTTTCTATATTATATTTTTAATTTTAAAAAAATTTATGGTAACAATTGCATTATAAAAACCAAATGTTGCAAATAGGCATTTTCTTCATAAAAATCATATAAATATAAATTATTGATATTTTTTTAAAGATGAAATACTAATAATATATTAAAAACATTATATACCTTTGATTTATATAAACTAATATATAATTGCTATCCATTTAAAGGTGTAAAATTTTTGCCGAAAAAATACCTAATTTTGAACTGTATTTGGGTAGAAAACCAATTTAAGATCCTTAAACATTTATTAATGAACGCCTGCATTTCCCTGTTTTCCAACTTATTGGAAATCTTTTTCTAAAAAGTGACATGCTCTGGAAGGTATCCAAACACATTCTCGTGTCTGTTACGCTGAAAAAAAGAAGCAATTCATTGCCCATATCATTAGGAATTCCTATCGAAACTTAGCATATGATGTCCTGACATGCTCTGTTCCTTCAAAGGGAAGACGTACAGTAAGTAGAAAACGCTTTGGTTCCATAGAGCAATGAAAGATATATCGAATTTAAATATGAACATAGACTGAACACTAATAAGTAGTTTTGTAAACGAACGCGTTCAAACGAAGTTCGTTTTTTTGAAAAAAGGTGATGAACGGCGTTCCTTTTTTTTGACGAACTTTGAACGTGAACGCGTTCCTTTTCTTTGATGAAGGCCTTCAATTTTACGTTCGTTCAATTTTAAAAAACACTTTTTTTTTATTTATTTGAAAAATTAATATTAATCCGCATTTTTTAACAAAAAAGTTTTATATTTTTATTTATTTAAAAAATTAATATTTAATCCAATTTTTTAACAAAAAAGTCTTATATTTTTTAATCAGCTGTTTTTACTTTTTCCTCTTTCATATTGCAATTAACGTACCATAACGTGCTACTGCTAGAGAAGATAAGATAAAGTTTATTAATTTGAATATTTTATATTTTAATTTAATAGATTAGCATTTGCATGGATATAAATATTTCATCATCAGATTCTGAAAATCAAAATTCAATATTAGATGAATTAGAATTACCATGGCCCAAATATCAAAAATATTTCACTGTTTTAAATTTAATTCCGAGATATCTTTTTTTTTTGACGAGGAAGAAGAGGGCAGATTGGAGGATGATAACATAGCTCAATTTTTTGAAACAATGGATAAAACATTAAATGTTTTTAATAAATTCCCCCTTTTAAAAGAATTGTTTATCAAGTATGACACCGCAATCCCTTCATCTGCCCCTGTTGAGCGAGTTTTTAGTATAGCTAACGCTGTATTAACTGCCAAGCGTTCATGTCTATCAGATGAAAATTTTGAAAAGCAATTATTATTAAAAATTAATAAGAAACTTTTTTTATAAATTTATTTTTTTATCGCTCTATTATATTGTATTTATAATTATATTATCAAAATAAAACTATTATTTTTTATCATGGCTAATATATTGTTTTGAAAAATATAAGGCATTTATTTATATTAAATTAAATTTTAAAAAAAATTTATCATAAAATTTTGAATGCATGAACGCGTTCATGAACTTAAACGCCCTTTTTTTGAACGTGAACGCGTTCGATTTTTTTAAAAATGTTTACAGCACTACTAATAAGAGATCGATAAAGAAGTTATTCAAGATTAAATCAAGCAATAAATCTACTCGCATAACTTCAAATGACAAATCACGAAATAATAAAAAAATTGTTTTGTAAATTAATGTGCTTAAGTAGCA